ACCCTCGCCCCCTCCAACCAGTGTCTCCAGGTCGAGAGCGCTAATTTGATAGCTCCCGCCTCCTTGTCCCAAACCGACCAATTACGCTCAGTGTCATTAAATTTCCGAGAGGCGTAGGTGAGGAGATGGAGTTTCCCATCCTCCCCTTCTTGCAAAATGGCACCACCCATAGCAACATCCGAGGCGTCAACTTGCACAATGAACTTTTTTAGTTCTTTTGGGTGAGCCAGCACGGGCTCTGAGGTGAAGAGGGCTTTGAGATGATCAAACGCCTCTTGGCATTTGTTAGTCCAGTTCATCTTAGCCCCAGGGCGAGTTCACTCCGGACCCTTCCCCTTAGTCCTTAATAGATCCGTGAGCGGTAAGCTCATCTGAGCAAAGTTCACCAGAAAGGACTGGTAAAAATTTGCGAACCCGAGGAATACTTGTAGTTTCCTCCAGGTTCCAGGGGGTTCCCACCCCACCACATCCCGAACCTTAGCTTCAGGGGGAAATGTGGTAACCCAGGTAGTCTATCTCAGTGCAGTGAAACTCACACTTGGATAGTTTGGCAAACAGTTTGTGCTTGTGTAACGTTTGGAGGACTTCCCGCACTAGCTCAATGTGGGAAGGTTTATCAGGGGAATAAACAACAAGCTCATAGATACATATGATCAATCAACCCGAGCCTGACACCCCCCTCCCTCTCTGCTAGGGGATGGTTCCTTGGTGCGAAAAGATACCCGTTCTCCAGCTGAAGAAGAGGTCCTTTCTGAGGGCACATTCCCCTTATCCACAGCATGGTGCCCTGTTTCGTCTCGACCCTCATGCTCCCTGGCAGCAGCAGGGCTGCCATATTCAGAGTGGGACATATCTAACAAGTCCCTAAGAGTCTTCTCCATGCACCTAACTGACTGTCTCTGCTTCTCTAGGTCTGCCACCTTGGCCTCAAGGGAGCAAACTCATTCGCTGAGAACCAGGAGCTCCTTGCACCGGACACACACACAAGACTTCTGTCCAGATAGTCATACATGTGACACCGTGCAAAACACTGGATAGCCCCCAACCCCCTGCTGGCATTCTGGCTTCATAATTGCTTTTAAAATATAATTATATATAATCCCCCTTTTAAAACCTTTTGTATTTATGTGGTTCTCCTTGTAGAAGTCTACTTACCCTACTGGGAACCCAAGGAGACTAGGGCCCTGGCTTTCTGGCTTTTCTCGGGCTTCTTACAGAGTCCCTAGTCTAGGAGTCCCTAGGCTAAGAGCCACAGGCCAAGAGCCCTTTGGCTCATGTCAGAAGCTCATGTCTCTGGCAAGGTGCTGCCTTAAATAGAAGCTTCCCCCAGCAGAGGGTGTGGCCAGCAGCTATTCAAATTCACCCAGGCACTCAATTACAATCAAACAATGACGCTTTCACACCCTATCTCAAGCAGCCAGGACTCTGCAACAACTCACAACTCACCCACACACTCCCAAAACACATTCCCCCCACACAGTACCATCTCAGCTAAATCACCTCAGCTGAAAGTAAATAAAAAACACTCACCCCTCTAGCAGCTCTATCTCCTGCTCCTTCTCAGAGCTCAGCTGGGTCAGCCTGTTTTGTTCAAAGGCGGTTATCCCCAGTGTGTGTCAGCTATGCTGCCATATAGTTTATGGGCTCGGGTTTGCTTTCATGACGTGTGTGCCAGTTGCTGCCGCATTCCTTCCTTTTCGCTTCTCCTCCTTGTTATCACTGACCTTGTAGCCAGCCTGTATAGTGTCTTCCCATCAATTAACCGTGAGACTAGTTTCGTTTCTCAGCCTCGGCTCTAACTGCCTTGGTCCTTGCTGTACTCCCCCGACCTCCCCTCACACGTGAAATTGGTGAGGGAAGTGCTACAGATGTTGCACAAGCACAAACTCTTTGCTAAACTCTCCAAATGTGAGTTTCATAAGTCGGTCATTAACTTTTTCGGGTATAGGATCTCAAACAAGGGCTTGGAAATGGACCCAGGGAAGGTCCACGATGTACTTGGGTGGGAGGCCCCCCGCACACACCACCAACTCCAGTCATTCCTCAGATTCTCGGATTTCTATCGAAATTTTCTCCCCAACTTTGCCCAGATCAGCTTACCCCTCACTGACTTATTAAAAACAAAAGGGAAAGGTCCAGAGATGACCAAACCGGGTGCTTAGCTTTGGTGGACGGAGGAATGCCAGGAGGCATTTGACTGACTTAAGGCATTATTCATGTCAGAACCGGTGCTTGCACACCCGGATGAAAATAAAAAGTTCATCGTCCAAGTCGACACATCAGACGTGGTGATGGGGGGGGGATCCTGCAGGAGGGGGGTGATGGGTTGTTACACCCCCTGGCATATGTCTCCCGTAAGTTTAACGAGACCGAACGCAATTGGTCGGTTTGGGACAAGGAGGCGGGAGCGATCCGATTGGCACTCTCGACATGGAGACATTGATTGGAAGGGGCCCGGGTGCCGTTTGAGGTCTGGACAGATCATAAGAACCTGGAAATGCTCAAGATCCCCTGTAATCTTAATGCCAAGCAGCTACGGTGGGCCGATTACTTTTCCAAGTTTCAGTTCACGTTGCACCATTTCCCGGGCTCTGCGAATTCACTGGTGGATGCACTATCCCACCTCCCACAACATGACAGCCAAAGGGAGGTGGTACTAGACTCTATGTTCACGCCCTCGCATCTTGGGGGGGTGGTGACGCCTCGCAGCCAAGCAGCCTCCTCCCCTCCGGACCATATCTCCAGACACGACTCCACCCCTCCTATTCCTCCGGGCGGGGCGGCTTGGAACGCCAGGTTTGCCTCCGCCTTTTCGGATGCCGACAAAGAGGAGGTGGAAAATGTCGGGAGGGTGGAAAGGAAAGTGGATGGTTGCTGGTACCGTGGCACAAAACTGTGCCCAAATCATGGTGAGGGGAAGTGCTTCCAGCGGTTCACGGCTCCAAACTCGCAGGGCACTCTGGTTTTGTAAAATCACTGCACCTGTTGCAAAGACAATTTTGGTGGCCTCTTATGTGAAAGGATTTATCTTTGTTTGTTCAGTCTTGCCAAACTTGTGTCATGGGTAAATCCCGCCCAGGCAAGACTCCGGGATTGCTGAAACCTCTCCTGACCCCGAGCCGCCCCTGGGAGGGGATCTCTATGGACTTTATCATGGATTTACCCCCTAGTAAAACCATGACAGTCATTTGGGTGGTGGTTGACCTGTTTTCCAAGCAAGCCCGCTTTATCCCATTTGCATCCTTGCCCACTGCCAAGGCTCTGGCAAAGGGCTTTATGCAACACATTGGTGCGCCTCCACACGCTCCCGGGCAAGATTATCTCTGACAGGGGGACGCAATTTGTTTCCAAGTTTTGGGGGGAATTGTTGAAACTTATGGGGGTTGAACGGGCCATGAGTAGCGCTTATCATCCAGAGACTGATGTACAGACCAAACGAGTGAATCAGACTTTAGAACAATATTTGTGTTGTTTCACCAATTACCAGCAGGATGATTGGGTAAACTTACTTCCCCTGGCTGAATTTTGCTATAATAATACGTGTCACTTCTCTACGGGAATGTCCCCATTCAAAGCGCTCTATGGCTATGACAGTCCCTCATTGCCTTTTCTTGAGGGAGTTACCTTGGGCCCGGGGGATACTGCGCAATGGTGTCAACAACTTCAAGACTCTTAGCCTTTATTGTGTAAAACATTGGAGATGGCTAAAGAGGCTTACAAGGCTCAGACTGACAAGAGAAGGGTGGAGGGATGGACTCTGCAGCCTGGGGACTCGGTGTATGTATCAACAAAAAACAAGGTGTTGAGACCCAGCCGCAAACTGGGTTGGAAATTCATTGGCCCGTTTAAAGTCAAACGCTTGATCAATGAGGTCGCCGTGGAACTTGACCTTCCTAAGATCATGCACAATATCCATTCTGTGTTTCATTTCAGCCTCCTGAAACGGGACCCAGGCCCAAGCCCATGGCAGCCAACAAAACCCGTACCCCCTCCTATCATGGTGGAGGGCGGAGAATTTTTTGAGATCTCAAAGATCCTGGACTCTAAAGTGAAACGTGACAGACTGTTTTATTTGGTAGAATGGTTGGACTTTGGACCCCAGCACCGTGAATGGGTGGAAGTAGGGGATGTTCGGACCCCAAGGCTCTTGCAAGAGTTTCAGCGGGAATTCCCGGGGAAACTGGGAGATCTCCCAGGAAGTCCGGGAGATTGTTCTTTGGGTGGGCAGAATGTCACCTATGCTGCCATATAGTTTATGGGCCTGGGTTCGCTTTCATGACCTGTATGCCAGTTGCTGCCGCATTCCTTCCTTTTCGCTTCTGCCCCTCGTTATCACTGACCTTGTAGCCAGCCTGTGTAGTGTCTTCCCATCAATTAACTGTGAGACTAGTTTCATTTCCCAGCCTTGGCTCTAACTGCCTTGGTCCTCTTTCCCGCCCGCAGGAGTCAGGCCAATTGGCCCATAGGTGTGTGTGGGGGTGCTTTTGAATACCCTATATATCTCTCAGCTTTCTATGATGTAGTTATTCCTAATAGTGCCTGTGTTTATGCTACCATAGTGCTAACAATAAAGTAAAACCTTCGAAGAAGCGTGTGCTCTGTTGTTTGACCGTGGGTCCTGACAGTGTGTTGCCCATGGGTGTTATGGCTCCCACTTACTTCTTCCTCAAAAGAAGCCAGTCCTGCCCCCCCCCCCCCAGTGGATGCTTCAGAACCCAGGAACCTTTGCGTCTTCAGGGGGCACCTGTTTGGAAACAACTGCCTCCATCATAGGAGGACACTTGGGTTGGAGCCTCCTAAGCTTTTGTAGGCCCTCCCAATTTTTTGTGACTGGCCCTGGCCCTCCTGACAGCCATTTTGTGCACACGGTTTCAACAAGGTTGGGGATGTCTGTTCAAAGTATCCACTGTGCACTAGTTTATCATTAGAGGGCAATTTTGCAGTGCAAGACTTGGATAAGCCAATTTTGGTGACAGTTTCCATATTTGTTTTAAATTTAGGTCATTACCAAATTAATGACTCTTTCATCCGGCAGTCACCTGCAGTACTGATGTCCTGCTTCAAGTCTAGAACTACTCGTGAAACCAAAACAGAGACCCTGAGCCCAGGGCCTGCAGCCTATCAGCACACGGGGAGCCCCATTCCAGTACGGCGGAAGGTCCTTGGCGTGTGAGTTCTGACCTGCATTACTGATGTGAGCAGAAGAGGTGTACCCATGCCCCAAAGAGTCGGCATCAAGACTCTTTTAAAAGAAAAATATCTGGTCCTGATGCATTGTAAAAGGTGGGGCGTTCTTCATCTGAAGGTATTAAAAATAACAGTGGAGGGAACATTTTAACTTATTTAGAAGTTTCTTGGGGCAGAGACCTACTTTTTTTTGCTGTGTCACTCTAGACCAGAGCACCATGTACATTGAAGGCAAAGCCTTGGTGGCATAGGGTTCAGAGAGTCGGACTAAGATCTAGGAGTCCTGGGTTATGCTGTAGAAGCTCTCAGTGTGATGTTAGGACAGCCACTCTTAGCCTATCCAACCTCCCAGAGTTGCAATGAGGATAAAATGGAGGGGAGAACAATGTTGTAAATGGCTTTGGCTTCCTATTGGGGAGAAAAGCAGCCTGTAAATAAATAAACTTCAAAAGTAACTAATAAAAACATTACAGTATTACAAGGCACTCAAAGGCATTCTAGTTCTGAGTTCATGGGAGGAGCAGGAAACATTAATTTGGGGAAACAATCAATTAATTAATTATGGCAAGTTCACTTTTCAAGAAGACAGAGACAGCAATGCTAAAGAAAGACAGCCTGCAGTCACATATGACCTTAAAAGGAACTAAAAGCTGCCATTATTCTGTGCGGAGAGGACAGGAGGTGTCACGCTATACCTCTATGGCAGCAGTCCCTAGTTGGGGGCAGGGGATCCCCCAGTTTTGCAGGCTTTTACCCACTGCTGGCAGCTGGCCATCAAAAGGAAACCCCCCCCCAAAAAAACAGTGACATCACCGGAAATACACACGACATGCCTACTTCACCCAGAAGTGACGTAGCCACATTGGTGACGTCTGAGAGGTGATGCTCTGGTTTTTAGGCAAAACTCTATGGTTTGAGGCTGATTTTACCATAGAGTTTTGCCCAAGAAACAGAGCATTGCCCCCAACATTACCGATGTACCTATGTTACTTCTGGGTGATGTAGGCACGTTCTATGCCAACACTTCCTGCGCCTGGAACGTCCCCCCCCATCTCCCCCACTGGTGTTTCTGATGGAACTGGCAACCTCCTGCACCAGGAAAGGTGTTGGTGGGCACCATGGTGCCCGTGGGCACCACGTTGGGGACCCCTGGTCTATGGTAAAAGCCTTTGAGGGCTTTCAGTTCATTTCAGTGGAACAATATCAGTAAGGGCTGGGTTCAGACTCTCCTGCCTGCCTGCCTTGATTTCTTTCTGATTTCAGTTGTGTAGGTCCGAAGGTGGCTGGCTGCTCAGTAATGAGAGAAAGGCGCTCTGCCCATTCTCAGAAGCACCTTTTATTATAACTCCATGCAGGGTTTTTTTGTAGAAAAAGCCCAGCAGGAACTCATTAGCATAATAGGCCACACCCAACAGCAGAAACTCATTCGCCTATTAGGCCACACCCCCTGACAGCACAGCTCATTGACATATTAGGCCACACCCCCATGTTACCAGAAGTGTGGTTATCCAGCCACACCCACCTTTTGCTTGTTATTCTGTTTACCTTGTTTGTTGTCAAAACCCAGGGCCTATTTTGTAGCAGGAAGGCCTTGGCATGTTAGGCCACACGCCCCTAATGTAGCCAATCCTAATGAGTTCCTGCTGTTGGGTGTGGCCTATTATGCTAATGAGTTCCTGCTGGGCGTGGCCAACTTGGGAGCCAGCTGGAACTCTGTTTCTGTGCGTTCCTGCCGAAAAATAGCCCTGACTCCATGTAGGTTTACCAACCTCCAGATGAGGCCTGAAGAATTCTCTGAGTTACCACTGATCTTGAGACTACACAGATAAGTTTCTCTGTCCATAACTGAGCTGCAATATGGGAACAGTGGAAGGTAAAAAAAAAAATTAGGGAGCCAGACTTGCAGGAGTCCCAGCTGCATTATGGCAAGGAAGAAAGTGAATATTTACTTTCATCTAGTAAGGAGCCTCACTTCCCTGGTCATGTGTGCGCAGTCCCACCCACCCACACGCACGCACGCACGCACCCTTCATGCTGAGGTCTAATAGATCTAACTATCAGTCAGTTACTCAACCAAGCCATTTTTTATGGCAACCGGTCCTGTAAACAGCCATGTTGGTTTGCTTGAGATAAGATTAAGATCTACCTTTTTTTCATTCCTGCCCCTGTGCTCCTCATAGCTGGAGCCCTCTGCACGTGGTCAGGGGTATCTTTACTACATCTCATGTCTTTTTCTAAATACAGGTCTTTGTAGAGGAAGAGGGAGGGGGAACTGGCACGGGCTTAGCATGTAATAAACCAACATGACTTAGGGAAGATGTAAATCAAGCCTGACGGGGCAAAGGAACATCCATCTGTGTTGGCAGAAAATACCAGACCTATCAGCCCCGTGGAGGCTAATCCAACTCCCATTTATGTCAAGGTGATTAATGCCTCTGGGGCCAGAGCAGCAGCTGGTGCAAAGCCATCAACTCCAGCAGGGAGTCAAGACCAGTTTGTCTTGGATCAGTCCCATGGATTTCAATGTGTCCCTTCCAGTTTATTCTCACCAAAGTCCCCGGGCTGCAGCTTTCAGCCAGAACAGGACTAGACTGGTCAGAAAATACTCATCCCGTTGTCAGTCTTCCCTATTGACTTGGTTGGACTTGGTGTGATGGGTGTTGCAGCAGAGTTAACTTGGCTGCACCAGCTCCAATTCAGGAAGAAAAAGTAAGAGAGACTGATATGCAATCATTCTCTTTACCAAACACAAAAGGTGCTGGAGACAGAGCTGAATTTAAGCAGAAGCTAAGCAAGCTACAGTTTAGGACCTCAAGTAGTGAGGGTCTATCAAAATGCAAAAAACAAAACAAAAATTAAATTACTATTTTTGGTAATGGTATGGAGCCCCTTGAACTTGTTATAGTTTAGGGTCTTAGCATGTCCTAATCTGGCCTGGCTGGAAGAGGCGGCTACCACCACCACAAAGGGTGCACACTATATGCTCCACAATAGCACATGCACGGCCTATCTTAGTGGTGCACACACTGTATTCCTAGAAAGAAGAGCAGGTTTTTATACCCCACTTTCCTCTACCTCTACCTTTGAGGAGTGGTTTACAATCACATTCCCTTCTTCTCCCCACAACAGGCACCTTGTGAGATAGGTGCGGCTGAGGAAGTTCTGAGAGAACTGTGACTGACCTAAGGTTACCCAGCATGCTTCATGTGGAGGAGTGGGGAATCAAACCAGGACCGGTTATCCTGACTAGAGTCTGCTATTCTTAACCACTACATTACACTGACTTTGGGGATTCTTGGAAGCTTACCAAGGGTATCCTCAATATAAGTCTACTAGGAAAAAGGCTCGTTGTGGAAATAAATACAACGACCTCTAGAAAGAGGCTCTGGGCGGGTGCCCCGGCCTTGGACACTCAGTGTCAATGTGCTGTGGCGATCTCAGCAGGGTTAATGACACTGAGTCCACAATTTTCTCCAGAGGAACTGATCTCTGCTACCTAAAGAACAGTTGTAATTTTGAGTGATCTCCAGCCCTCACCTGGAGATTGGCAACAATGGTTCCCAAGAAGGGAATGGTTGGTTTGTAGGGTGGAGTCTATGGCTTTGTACCTGTCCAAGGTCCCACGCCTCCTGAAACCTCACCCTCTCTTTGGCTCCATCCCTCACATCTCCAGGAATTTCCCACCTGGAGTTGGCAACCCTATCTCCTTCCCAGCCAATCATCAACCTACCTTTATTTTCCCCTCACTCTTCAGCTTTCCACCCCCTACACACCTGCAGCCTCTCCCGTGCTCTGAAGCCTTGACTGCTACGTCACATTGGCTGTCATACGGGGGCCACCTCAGCAGCATATAAGGATACAGAGCCCACCCTTTTCTCCAGGGGAACTGATCTCTGCCATCTGGAAAGCAGTTGTAATTCTGAGTGATCTCCAGCCCTCACCTGGAGATTGGACACATTTTACCTCAGAACAGCAATCAAGTCGCATATGCAAACGACCTCTGTGTTCTGAGGCAGAGGCCAATGAGGCTGCATATGCAAATAACCTCTGTGTTCTGACTGGCTATGGGGGGGAGGGGAACAGCAAACTGTTTAGAATGTTGGAGGCGAGACTCAAGCAATGCAGCCAGTGAATAGGGACAGATTCTGAGTGACACACCAGGGCGCCAACCAATTCCGGAGCTTATGGAATGTTCTAGAGAAGTGCCACCACCATTCGGCTTTTACATATAAGGGAGATTTATTATGGTGCATTCTAGGGTGCACATTTAGTTTACTGGGGACTATCCTGCACCCCATGCAAAATTGAGAATGTAACATATAACATTCAGCGCCAAGCAGATAAAGTGATGGATATTAGCACCCATACTTGGTCTGACTGAAGGCACTTTCCTTCGTGAAATAGAAAGGTTCTGCAGCAGACTCATGGGAGTTGTTTCCTTGGTGTACAAAGCAACATGGACATCATTTATAAGTAGGACAATCCCAGCCTCACCCCCGAAATACTTCAAACTAATCATCATAATTCCAAGGGAGCATCTGTGAAGCCATAACTTTAGTGGTAAACCCATAGCAGAAATGTATTCAGTGCCAATCAGATGCAGATATAACCTTCTAAGAACTAGGCTTAGTGGGGAATCTGCTGTTCTAGTATAGAGTAGAAACCAGCTTTGAACAGCTCCAAGTAAAAAAAGGGTGGCTGAATTGTGAAGCAACCCTCACCTTTTCTTGGAGCGGTGCAGAGCATTGATTGGCTCACCTGTCTGTCAGTCAGGAACAGGGTCAGCCCAAGGATTTTGGGTGCCCTAGGTTAGGATGCCCAAGCCATCAACCTGGGCTGTGGGAAGGTAGGAAGACGGTGCCCACCATCCTTGTCCCCGGTGACTGGGCAGCAGCAGCCAGCCCCCTCATCCCCCTGGGCTTCATGGGGGCAGGAAGATAGTGCCCACTCTCCTTCCCCCCTGCACTCTGGGGAGAAGCTGCTGGCTCTCCTTACAGAGGTGAGGAGGGCCAGGAGAACTGCCCTGCCCCCACCCCCAAGAGGGAAGGAAGGAAGGAAGGAAAGAGCAGGCTCTCTGCTGGCCACCCACTGGGGCCAGGGCTGCCTCCCAGGGTAGACCTCGATGCATAGGAGGGGCGGCAACAGGGCTGGTTGGTCCCCTTCCGCTATTGGTGCCCTGGACAATCACTTAGGGCTGCCTAGTGGACCCCTGATCAGGAAGCAACTTCCCCTCCCCTTGTCAGAGCAAATTCCATCTTGTTAAATAAATGGACAAAACAAAATAGTGAACAACAGGTGGAGTAGATACACACCCTAGCAGTTTGGGCTTAGCCAGTGTCCCTTGTGAACTGAGGGTGTGTCTGGTTGAAAACATGCCTCAAAACTCTGCAATGCACAGGGGGACTCTCTCAGCAGACAACTCAGTGTGGAAAGTGGCCTGAAAGTAGAAAATCTGAAATCTACAGTTCTGTTCTAACAGAGATCAGTGAGCTCCCTTCCAACAGTGCTGATCTCTTAGGTGATCAAGATGGCAGCTGAGTGATGTGCTCTTACAAGGTAAACACTCTGTGAGCCAGTTCACGTGTTATGAAGTCCACATGGTAGACGCATGGTGTGTCAATAGATGTAGTCGGGGAGGTCAGTGCTGGGAACTTAATCCCCAGGGACATGGGGACTTAGTTCAGATCAGGACCAGGGCTATTTTTGGGCAGGAACACACAGGAACGGAGTTCTGGCTGGCTCCTGAGTTGGCCACGCCCAGCAGGAACTCATTAGCATAATAGGCCACACCTAACAGCAGAAACTCATTAGGATTGGCTACATTAGGGGTCTGTGGCCTAACATGCAAATAAGTTCCTGCTACAAAAAAAGGCCCTGGGTTTTGACAACAATCAAGGTAAACAGAATAACAAGCAAAAGGTGGGTGTGGCTGGATGACCACACTTCTGGTAACATGGGTGTGTGTGGCCTAATATGCCAATGAGTTGTGCTATCAGGGGTGTGGCCTAATAGGCGAATGAGTTTCTGCTGTTGGGTGTGGTCTATTATGCTAATGAGTTCCTGCTGGGCTTTTTCTACAAAAAGAGCCCTGATCAGGGCCATGGTATATGCGAGACAGGGATTTAAGCACTTCCTGCTGCACTGTTATCCTGGACAGGAAAATGGCATGGGCCAGATGGCTTAAGCCCCCTTTTCCCAAGTGCCACAATCCTGATCTGAATTGGCCTGTGTGTACATGAATATTCTGAGCATGGCATTCCGGGTGTGTGTCTCATTGACAGGACCTTTTGTGGTCTTGTGGGGACATGTGTGGAGGTCATCACTCAGAAGGGGGAGGTTCCTGGTGAGTTTTAGGCTCACTGGTTTGAGCACCAATCTTTATCCTTCATTTCTATCCAGTTTTGATGGTTTGTAAAGCCATATTTGGCCTTCCAGATCCAATTGAATTGGGAGACCTATTAAAGGCATCCCCGCCTCTTCTGATGCTGAAATACATCCGGGGACACTGCTATGAATGTATCTACAAAAATAGTTGCTTGCCTTCCATTTTGCACCCAGTGGCACCCTACTGTAATTTGACGTGATGCTTCTTGGGGAATCTCTAATCTTTAGCTGCGACCTAACATGGCAGTCATTGGTTTTAAGCACACCCAACTCTGTTCTGAATTATGATAATGTACCATATAACGCAGGAGCTGCGGTGGCTCAAGTGGTTAAGATGCTGAACTGCAGGCTGGAAGGTCGGTAGTTCAGCAGTTCGAGACCCGAGTGCCGCATGATGGAGTGAGCTCCCGTCTCTGGTTTCAGCTCCTGCCAACCCAGCAGTTCGAAAGCAATAAATTGCAAGTAGATAAATAGATACCGCTTCATTGGGAAGGTAACAGCGTTCCATGCGTCTTGGTGTTTAGTCATGCCGGCCACATGACCACGGAAACATCTTCGGACAGCGCTGGCTCTTCCGCTTGGAAACGGAGATGAACACCACAACCCTAGAGTCGGATTCGACTGGCTTTCGAGCAAGGGAAACCTTTACCTTTTACCATATAACTCAACTTGAAACTACTTATGTTTCACTCAAAGCCAAAGTCTGTTTGAACAGCAACTCTGTTTGTTTCTCCTAGGCGAAAGCACACCTTGAACTTCTCAGCCCCACCTGCTCCTCGGTCCAACCCTCCCCCTTCCCCTGGACCTGGCCAGTATGAAATAGTAGACTTTGAAGGTCCCAGCAAGCATTACATTTCCAGTGCCGTATTTGTCTCGAACACAGACCGTTGTTTCAGAGACAAATTCCACCAAGAAATACCTGGCCCAGGTAAGAGTAGAATTATTTTTTAAAGATTTTGACAGCATTTACAAAAAATGAGGTGTCACATTCCTTCATTTAACAACAATGATAGTTTACTATGAGCACGAGAGAGGACTGATGCAGATAGACTTCAGTGGGCCATCAGAGTGGGCATTTTGCTCCCCCAAACATAAAGCAATTTCGGGTGGCTGCCTGGGACTGAAGGTTTTTAATGCCATTAAAAGTCTGGGCTGAACCCCTTCTTGGGTGTGGCCCCAATCCAAAACACAACTATCTTATCCTGCAGTTTACTTTTTCCAGATGAACAAAGATCTGTGATCTCTGTAATGTCTGTTTTGGTCCTGTCTCACAAATTAAACGATTATTTTTAAAATAAATTTGGGGTGGGTCCAATGAGTACTCTGGGTGGGCAATACCCCGGTGCCCTCAGATCAAGCAGATTTTGGGGTTCAGTCCTCAAAGATTTCTAGCAGCACATCTGCCTCCATTTTTTAAAATATATCAGATACCTTCCATTTGAAAAGAGGCTATACCAAAAGCAAAGTGAATTAGCCAGGGCTGGGAATAAAACAAGGGGGAAAAGGGGAGGGGGCATCACCAGAAAATGTGCTTTTCCACATTAGGAAGGTGATACTCATCTGCAAGTTTATTCTTGCCAAATGACTCCAGCTGCATTAGGTTCAGCCCAATTACATTGCTTTATGAGAACATTAGCTCAGTAAGTCCTATTAGCATGTCACCAGGTAGGGAGAGTGTTTGACACACAGGTTTGCAGCAGTTGCAACAACAAAAAAAGCCATATTTGGGGCAACAGCATTTGACTTTGTGTTGCCATGGCAGCAAATTTATTTTGTTCATTTAGTTCAAGACAGAAAGGGCAGAGGGGGTGGCAGAGGAGAAGGAGGATGACAAGCAAGTGATTCTGAGGCCTTGTAATGCTGTAATGCTTGACTTGCCCAGCCGGGAAGTGCTTTTATAATAGCTAGCTTCACTTTCTGTCAGCTGCCCAAGGCAGCCTTTGTACTGATTTATTTTAGCTTTATTTATTTAACCTGGAACCCGCCCCGTTCATCGAAGCACAGGGCAGGTAACAGGATGATAAAAGCAAAACACCTCTTCACACATTGTAGAGTACACAGGTTAGGTCTGGATCCCCACTCTGTGTCAGACAATCACACAAGTTGTATGTGTTGGGGGAAATAGGCAAAAATACTTAAATACTCAGCGTTTGCAATGGATCTATGCTTCACTGGAGAGGAGACATTTCTTTCTATGTAAAAATCTTTATTTCTAAGGGAAGGGTTCACATGGAAAGCTACAAGACAAAAGAGATATCTAGACCTACATCTTTACATCCTTACAGCACAGAACACATGGTCACACAAACAATGGAGAATCTCCTTCTTCTTGACCCCTAGAAGAGGAGGAGGAGGAGATTGGATTTATACCCCGCCCTTCACTCGGAGTCTCAGAGCGGCTTACAAACTCCTTTCCCTTCCCCTCCCCACAACAGACACCCTGTGAGGTGGGTGGGGCTGAGAGACCTCTGACACAAACTGCTCTTTTTCAAGGACAGCTGTGCCAGAGCTTGTGACTGACCCAAGGTCACATCAGCAGGTGCAAGTGGAGGAGTGGGGAATCAAACCTGGTTCTCCCAGATTAGAGTCCGCACACTTAACCACTACACCAAAGTAAGTCATCTGAACACAGTAACCAATGATTGCCAGTAAACAGACTTAGATTCCCCCAGGCTATCTTCTCATTGGCTCTGAGCCAAGTTTCCCTTCCAGGTCAGTCTAAACAATAGTACACTAGGTAAAGCAGATTAACCCTATAGTGACTGAAATCCAAACTTTGCACCTCACATATTTCCAACAGTAGGTTCTCCTCAGTTCCAGTATGTGCAGTGTCCAATTAGGATAGTAACCATTGTTGGGCCTTTTAGGGAAACCAGACATATCCCATAGGATACATGGGTTTCCCCAAACAGTGCCCCCCAATTGTTTCTGATTGAGGGGGTGGGGTCATGGGGGCGCCGTCAGCAATGGCTTATGTCGCTTCAGGGGAAAACCTGGACAATTGCTAGGGAGGACTCATGTCACATCTGGGTTTTTCCCAGAAGCAACATCAGCATAGAATTTTCATCAATTGCTAGAGAAGATTGACATCATCCTAATTCTGGCCAGGAAACTTTAAACATGCGTGTGTGTGTGTGTGTGTGTGTATGTTTAACCCAATCTGGATATTCCTACATGTGTGAACAGGCAGTTTAACTAGGCACTCCCTGAATGAGTGAGGGTGGCTAAAATTCACCACAGTCATGGCTAGGATAACCAACCTCCAGGTGGGGCATGGAATTCTTCTCGAATTATAAATGCTCTCTCGACTACAGAGATCAGTTCCTCTGGAGGAAAATGGCATCTTTGAAAGGTGTTTCAAATAGAAACAAAGTCCTAGACTAGGGATCCCCAACAGGGTGCCCGCAGGAGCCATAGTGCCCACCTGCAACTTTTCTGGTGCCCGTAGGGTTGCCAGGTCTTACCTGGCTGCCGGTGTGTGGGGGTCCTATTCTTCTCTGTGCGGGCCCATAGCTACAGTGGGGTGCCTCAGGGTCCTGCCCCCTTAATTCATAGCCATGTCCCACAAAAGGCATGGGTGGGGATTGGTATGGGAAGGAGATGGCTTGGTTGCTTGGAGGGTCGGGAGGATTCACAGGGTTTTGATTCTTAAGCAATAGACTAGTGAATTAACCTTGAGAAGGGCCGGGAGGGGAGCAGGGGTACTGAGCTGAGTGGATATGAAGGGGTGTGTGTGTGTAAAACTGAAATTTAGATTTCTTCTGAATGCCACGCCAACATACAGCCTTCCATGCTTCAGCATGCTTGCGTGTTATTTAGGTATAACCTAGCTACTTCTGGCATATTGATGACATGCAGTATTGGTTGTTGCTGTTCAGTCACACAGTCTTTTCGACCCCATGGAACACATCACGCCAGGCCCTCTTGGTACTGGTACATATATCCATAGAGACAACATATTATTTTTACAAAGCCCTTCACTCCCTCATAATGGTTGCCCCACAAGAAAAATCTGTGCCCCACAAAACAAAAAATCCCGGCTACAGGCCTGTCTCTGGGATTCTTCGGCACCATAGAGATTTTTCCTCGATTGCCCCATGATGTGCCCTGTGTGATGACGTCACCTCCGAGTGATGTCATCGCTCTGGGCACGTTGGCGCAGGTGGGACTGTTCAGAGGTGGGCTCCCCCCCCGGCTGGCTGGACGGCAGTGGATTGGGCCCCCTGAAAGTGGGTAAATCCCACCCCCATCGGGGGGATGGCAACCCTAGGTTCCGGCCAACAATTTTTGGAAAGTAGGTGGGGCCAGGTGGGGCTTTTGCTCAGCAGGGCTTCTGATTGACCATTGGAAATTTGATAGGCTGTGTAGATTTTTAAAAACATTAGTCTGGCAGCAGCTGCCACGACAGCACAAGGATCTTCTCTGTGTGACTGAAGGTAAGCTGCGGCGGCCATTTTGTGGCTGACTTGCTTCCTGCAGTAGCCATTTTATGGCAGCCATTTTATGATGCTAGGGTTGCCAGGTCCATCTTTGTCTCCAGTCAGGGACTTTGGAGGGCATTCCCGAAGGGGGCAGGGCATCCCCAATGTGATGATGTCACATTGGGGATGCCCCAACTCCAAGCCCTGCCCCTGCGGGGACGGTTCTGCTGGCTGTGGCTCCAGCGGGCCCAGTGCACCCCATCTCCGAGCAGCATTGCCATTCAGAGATTGGGCGCACGGGGCCCTTTCCCCCGGCTGCCTGCACTTAAAGGGTTTCCTTTAAGTGCACACAGCCGGAGGGCCCCGCGCACCTGATCTCCAAGCAGTAATGCTGCTTGGGGATTGGGTGTGGGGCCCACAGCTGCCCCTGTCCCTCCTCTCTCTCAAGAGAGGTGGCTGTGGGTGTTGACACTTGGGGGTGGGGCTTTTGCCACCGGCTGGCAGCAAGTTGAACCCCCAAAGACCAGGGGGGTCTGGCAACCCTAGGCTACGCTCACCATGTTGAGTCAGAATTCTAAGGATTCCTGAAGGCTCAAAAAGTTTGGAGACCACACTGTCCTAGACTGACAGCACATCCCCTCCAAGCTCCGTCTCCTTCAAATTCTGCCCTCCCTGGGCACCACTCCGAAATCTCCAGGAACTTCTCAGTTCAGTGTTGGCAGCTCTATGGCCATAAGTAACATGATCCAGTTACTAGGAATTATTAGAGGAAGTAAGCTCTACAGGAAATAACAAATCTAAGCTCTCCTGACAGATTAATGTAGGGATAGAAGCACAGAAATATCAACTGGGCCCAATATTTAC